GCTGTCACTAATGTTTTTTGTCACCTTCAGAGTTCTCGTATTTCATATAATTATAGTGATTGTCTTGTCAGTTACAAATTTATAAGGTTGACAATCTTAGGTGTGTTTTGGTGAAACTGCTCCAGTTCTTTCCTGTTGCTGAGTGTTAACTGATTTTTTTTGTTTAAAGGATGACTGGATCTCGTCCCAGACTTAATCCTTTGTCAGAACCAGTGTTTTTGATTCCTTTCAAGGCACTATGTTGCAGATGTGTGTGTAATGCACCTTTTCTTGGAAATAGATCAGGATGCTTTTGTGAAAGCCTGATGTCTATTCCTCTGTGCATGGCAGGCCAGAGAATTTGGTGTGTTTTAAGTGTGATTTAGGTCAAAATTGACCCCAAATCCTGTCTATAGTAATATCTATGCCATGTGAAGTCTTTGCTTTATGCTGCTGTTCTGCAGCATTTAAACCAGCCTGATGGGCCCACTGTGGTCTGAGGAGGAAGGTCTTTGCCTTCTCTCCCTGCTCCCAGTCACCTTTTCCCTGGGTTAGCTCTTGTATTTGTTGGAGTGTGCCTCTTTAACTCACTAAGCTAGTGAAAAATCCTGTCCAGCTGCTTTTTTTTTTTTTCTTTTTTCCCCCTTTGTCTGGGATCAGGAATTAAAACTCACAGAGCGGTCTCATGGGTGAGCGGAGGCAGAGGAAGCGATGATAGTCCAGGGCTGTAAAGTCGTGTGGAAGGTTAGGATGTCCTTCCACAGGACACGGAGAAACCATCTGAGAATTTAAGGCCCGGCCAGTTGTTTCAGACTACAATTGATAAAAAGAAGCAAGGCTTTGTTTAAAATGCACCTGTTTACTCTGTTGATCTAACCTGTGCAGCTTTGTGTCATGAAAGATGACCTGAGAATTTGGGTAATAAAGTGATTAACAATATAAAATGCTGTAAATGCTTGTGGTTTTTCTTGGCTGAGAAGGACTCCTGGTTTTGCTGTGGAAGGCTTACAGTGTTTCAGAGGATCATTATGAATCTGTGGCCCAAATCACCTTTCAGGAATGATGCACAGCAGAGATTAAGATTTGTACCCTCCATTGAGTTAAGTCCTTTGCATATTTTGCCCCTGAAGTGCTGCATCAGGAGTTGTGGGA